GATCGTCAACATTCTTTTCGGAGGTACCCTAAAATATAGGAATCAATTGTAGGGGTTGGAACATGCTTTGCTGGTTGTTTGGAGGAGGATAAGGTACGCAAATCGTTATTCTTCACAATGGGTTACTTTCAAGTTTTACTTACACCAGTCTTAATTGGTTATCTTTGGGCTCTCTACACAGCAATCGGTGCTTTAGTATTGTCAATTTGAACCTTTTATTTGTTCACCAACAAACTTCTGAGATATGCTTTTATCTTTATTTCCTTTTTCCTATAGTAAATAAAGTTTTACTCCTTTGTTAACGATCTTAGGATTTGTTTGCAATTATAATAATCTAGACTTTATCTAGACATGATTTCTAGTCACAGAACACATCACTTTTCAATTGTATTGATTTGTGAATAAGATTCAGAAGGGTTTATTATTATTTGAGCATGTACACACAAGTCTTTCTATATCATACATACGACACTTTGTTAAGCAAAACAAGAGTATAAACAATATTAATTAGGTTCACAGCACCACCAATATAGAAAATAATAGACCCCTATAAGGATTAATACCAGTGCACAATTCCCTTCTATAGCACTAAAGTTATTACTCCAAAATCGGATGCCTAGTGACACTTTTGACATTGTTGTATCCGAGTCTCCTGTGGAACTTGAAGAAATGGCTAAGCTAGATATTTTTATTATTCTGCCCTCGGAAGCGAAAAACTTAGATACACAGTTAACCCCATAAATGAATTCAGAACTACATCCTTTCGTTGCTTCTTCAGCAGCAATATAGGAATCTTGATAATGACGAACTTGTACACGAATAGAATCACTAGATTCAGATCGATAAGTCGGGATTTCGTATTTATTGTGATAATTACATCCAGCTGCATTATAACTCAAGCCTCGTAAACTAAAATGTCATCATTCATTAACCAATAGAATACTTCATGTTATCAACATTCCATGTGTTTTCTGAAGGTTTCAATCGAATACAAATGTCATTTAAGTATTTGTCTATTTGACAAGTCATTGTGACATTGTTCAAATGACCACCCTCTGCCAAACATAAACTTTCACATCGTTTCCTATATTTCAATACTCTATCGATATACCATACTTATCATTGGAACAGTCGAAATCATAGATATCATAAACATATTGAATATGTCGTGGATATGTTTGTGAGAAGATGATATGATCTCCATGTTTCAACAAAATGTCGATATTATTATTTGAGCTCAATTGTGTTTCATAATAGAGAGCATCTGTCGTGATACAGCCTTCAGTAGGATCACTGTTTTGTTTACATTCATCTCGAATGGGATAATAGTTTCCGTCTGTAGTAGTGACTTTCTCCATCACATTTTCGTTGACTTTAAACACAAGTCCATCGAACTGTTTAATTCCGTTTGTTTTCCATTCATTCGCGAGTATATTATATCTATAAGTAAATATATGACAATAGAATAAGTAGATTACTTGTTAATCTCTGTGTTTCTTGAAGCATAAACAAGCGATAAAACGAAGCAATATAGAATGAGAGACATAATTGATAATGGAATGAGTGGATATAGAATACAGAATGGAATAAATATATATATATATATATAAATGTATATGAATGTTATATAATAATGTTGAGTTCTGTTATAATTAAACATAGATGTCAGTTTACTGGAAATCAATGAATACATATAGAATTATGTATTATTAGCTACTTGTATTTTTACCTATTACACTCTACTTTAGATATTTTGAATTATTGAGGCTCAACAACCATATGTTATAATTGCCTGTAATTGTTTATTTATTATATCTCTAATATAGCATCAAATTAATATACATAATATTTTGACATATAAGTCAACCTTTAGCCAAATTCATTCAGAAGAGAATCAAAATAACTATTAATTGTGTTAAACTACATGTGTTGATTATAAAGCAATGCTTTACGCTTTGCTGCAGTGTAATCTATAGATTTCAAGTTAGCGATCACACACATGTTGTTCAAGGCAGGGAATCGTAATGGTATGCTTATAATACATAATTCTATATGTATTCATTGACTTCCAGTAAACTGACATCTATGTTTAATTATAACAGAACTCAACATTATTATATAACATTCATATACATTTATATATATATATATATTTATTCCATTCTGTATTCTATATCCACTCATTCCATTATCAATTATGTCTCTCATTCTATATTGCTTCGTTTTATCGCTTGTTTATGCTTCAAGAAACACAGAGATTAACAAGTAATCTACTTATTCTATTGTCATATATTTACTTATAGATATAATATACTCGCGAATGAATGGAAAACAAACGGAATTAAACAGTTCGATGGACTTGTGTTTAAAGTCAACGAAAATGTGATGGAGAAAGTCACTACTACAGACGGAAACTATTATCCCATTCGAGATGAATGTAAACAAAACAGTGATCCTACTGAAGGCTGTATCACGACAGATGCTCTCTATTATGAAACACAATTGAGCTCAAATGACAATATCGACATTTTGTTGAAACATGGAGATCATATCATCTTCTCACAAACATATCCACGACATATTCAATATGTTTATGATATCTATGATTTCGACTGTTCCAATGATAAGTATGGTATATCGATAGAGTATTGAAATATAGGAAACGATGTGAAAGTTTATGTTTGGCAGAGGGTGGTCATTTGAACAATGTCACAATGACTTGTCAAATAGACAAATACTTAAATGACATTTGTATTCGATTGAAACCTTCAGAAAACACATGGAATGTTGATAACATGAAGTATTCTATTGGTTAATGAATGATGACATTTTAGTTTACGAGGCTTGAGTTATAATGCAGCTGGATGTAATTATCACAATAAATACGAAATCCCGACTTATCGATCTGAATCTAGTGATTCTATTCGTGTACAAGTTCGTCATTATCAAGATTCCTATATTGCTGCTGAAGAAGCAACGAAAGGATGTAGTTCTGAGAACATAAATGAGAAGAACTGTATTTCCACCTCCATATCAACTGAAAACACAAGCATGTCCATAAAATCTTCTTCTTATCCTTATGAGACTGTGGAACCCAGTTCAATGTATGAGACTATCGCATTAATATCTGATTGTCTTTTTATTTTTTATTTCTATATTTGGAATAATATATTTGATTAATTATGGTATAAAACATATGATACATAATCATGTTTGTTAGAATAGATGTCCCTTTTAATCAGTATAAAATATGATTGTTTTTTGGATAACAGAACAATGCATTTTGATCGAAGCCAAAATGTGCACATTTATTATTATATATTCTAATTGTTCATTCAAAGACTAACACACAATTGCTAATTTGGGATGCAAAAAAGGTTCTTTCCCAAGCACATTTTGATTCTCTTATCAACAGTATTGATATAGTAACTTTATATTGGCCATTATACAATGTATCATAATACAGTAGAACCAATATCATGGTCAATTATTACCATTGAATGATCTGGCTTATGAAGGCATACACATAGTTTATGTATATACTAGTTTTGTACTTTAAGTGAATGAATTGTAATTCAAATAGTATAATCGATAACACTGATAGACATTCTGTTATAGTTATTTTAACGGAGTTGGTTAGGAAACATTTTTTTCTAAATTTTTGAGGAATAGCTGCTTAGACATGAATGTATATTCTTCTTATTATAGTTAATTGCATAGAATACCATAGTTGCCTACCAACAACCTGCAGTTATGAGTGCCCAAGTTTTTTCTATTTCTCGTTTATTATGGATAGCCACAAGCAGTTATGACTTATATGCCAGTACAAAGTGGCTATGCAATGCCAGCTCAACAAATAACTCAGAAGAGTTATGAAATGACACAAATACAATACAATCAGTCCACGACAGCGATATCTCAGCCTGGAACGAATGCAGTGGCTACTACTGCTCCCAGTTCTCAAGTAACACAGATTGTTATTAAGGAAAGCACAGTGGTACAACCTGTTGTAGTTGTTGCCGCACTACCTCAACCAATACATCGCCCGAAAATAAAATTACCCGGAGATGATTGGTATAAAAATAGTTTTTCTACGATTTAGGCAGGGGTGTTGTATTCCCAAAACAAATAAGCGTCGTGCGTTAGTATTAATGCTTCTCTCATTCTTCTTTTCTGGTATTTGAATCCATTCGGCATTGAGTATAGGATTTGCTACATGTGTAGGTGCCTGTATCGATGAAAATGGATGTGATCCAAATCTTTTCATTCTGGGACTCACACAAATTTGGTTAACCTTTTGGGGGGTTGGATATATATGGGCAGTACTCACAGGAGTTCTAACATTTATGAATGCGTATGGTACCTTGTAGCAGGTGTTTGTTTCTATTGCCTCTCTGTGTACAGTAACGAATGATGATAGCAGACCATACGAAAAACCCTTACAACCGCTTTTCTTTCCTAGAAAAAAAACAGATCGATTATCTACTTTTATGACCGATTCTTAAGTACTTTTCTATTCTAAACCAGCTTGCTTATTCCCATAGTAGAATGATACAAATACAAAAGACTTTTACAATTCAAAAAGTAATCATGAAAGATGTCATTGTCGAAAGTCTATCGGGCGTTATGAGTACCGTACTCATAGTAATTGTTTCGATACTCGTTGTGATCTACTACGTTGATTCTTCAATCGATATGTCCTATATCATTGTTTTAATTATATCATTGTAGCTCTTATCATTCGTATATCATATTTAGTATTTTTGGATTTGTTGGAATAGCCATTTTTCCTCTTGATATTGGTTTGTCAAATTTTGGTGAATCTGCAAGTTTTGGGCTTGTCCTATTTTGGTGGATCGTATATATAGCTACGAGCATAATAGCTTGGTTCTATTTACCGGTCATGAAAGATTATTGGGCTTCGGGTGAATTTTCCAGGAGGTATAATTATACATATACGATTGAAAATAGAGCGAGACTGAATGAAGCGGTTGTTAGTAATGTTCGTCAGTATGCTATAATCGCAGTTATTTTCATAATCGCTGCACTTTTTATCATATTTGGAAACAACATGTACCTTTTTGTGGTATTTCCATAATCTTCTCTAGATCAGTGAGTGATTTTTCTGGTATTTTAATATGTCTGGTGAATACTTATGGGCTTATTTACGTGTTCATCTACTTGGGGTATGGACTCATTCAATTACCGTTATCGTACAAATGCTTGTTTCGTTGTGACGCAGACTCTGGAAAGCTCCCAACTCACAAAAAGAAATCGACGAACTTTACGTTCGAGGTCGCGAATTGGACGAAGATAAATTCGACTTTGAGATGCAAGTCGTGTCTATTAAATGCAACTTGCGCGAGGTTATTTCTTCTCTAAAACAATCGCATCGCGACGAAACACTCATCCAACTCGCACAATCAGTAGGGAGTTTCGAAACCGTTACATGAAGATTGTGGACAGCATGCCGGACGATGAGGAAATCAATCTTTCGCGTCACATCAAAGGGCATGTTGACAAGCATGGATGGATTACCATAGATGAAGCAGCTTCAGAAAAAGCCGTGATTTCTGCATTGTCAAAAGTAGGGCCTTTTTTTCGTTTTGTTGGGTAGCTGAACTCCAAATCGAAGCATATTTGCTTGGTTTATCAAAGAAAAATGATTCAGTACAACGAGCTTCTGAACGAAATTGCCAAAATCAGAAAGTTTTCTGGAAATACAGAAGTAGTCCCGATTTTTGCACTTCAATGCAGATCCCTCTGGAAACGCACCACAGTCTTCAGGACCGGTGCTACTGGCTCTTCGTTCGATTGGGGATTCAATGCCGAATTCCTCTCCTTTATGTACCCAATTTTGTCAATTCCAAAAATAGATCGGATTTTTCGTTTCCTGCGTTTTCTCAGGCCTGACTTTAGGGAGCGAACTCACGACGATTCTTTTCAATCTGACAGGGAAATCGCTCTCTCTGCTTTCTTGGTCGTGCTCTTCGTCGATCGCCCCCGGCTTCCGCGTCTTTTTCACGTGTTTGGTGTTGATGTTTGCGGTTCGTTCGTTCCTTTCCGCCTAGCTACGTCTCTCTCTGCTTCTTCCTCGGGTTTTTCTCGCTCCCCGTCCCTCTCCTCACCTCCTTCGCGCTCTATCCGCATCATTCGGACGTCTACGCGCTGTCCTCCGCGGCGATCGCGCTGTGCCGCTGTCAGTTTTCCCTGTTTTACCACTATTTTAATCTGCTGCAGGTAGGTTCGATTCGAATTCGATGCGAGCGCAGCTCCCAGATACGTTCTACAATCAAATCGCGCTGTCGAAATTGCTGGGGGAGATGAAAACGATTCCGCTGCTGGGGACGCAGTTCAACAATTTGATGCCGGTGCTGGTGGTGGGAATGGCGGCGTTGACGCTGTGCTGGAAGCTGTTTCGGAAGGTTCGACGCAATCCTGATTTGATAAAGGAGGGCAAGCAGGTTGTGGATTTGTCGCTGCGAAGAATGGGGCTGGGTGAATCGGATTTGGAGAGTGAAGTGATGAAGAAGAAGACGTATGTGTATAGAGAAGTGGTGTATTCAAAGAAGTGTTCGTGTTTGTTCCAACAAACAGGCGAGGAAGAATCGCTCTGTGGTTAAATTGATGAAGAACACAAACATCGGATAAGGGAGGAGGAACGGCGCTGCTGCTGGGAGCGTTTTCGAGAGACATCGAAACATCGGGAGAAGATTCGGCGGAATGATTGGAAGGAGACTTGGCGGGAGGAATCGACGACGACGACGACGACGACGACGACGACGAAGAAGAAGAAGAAGAAGAAGAAGGCAAATGCAAGTCGAGAATAGAATGGCGAGTGTGAGAAGTAAGGGGAGTAGACATGGCGGGAGAATGGACTGGAGGCTCGGTCTCCATTGGGGAATTGTCGTTGACAATGAAAGATCTCTCTTTCTCCATTTCCACTTCACGGTAATTCGTCATCAGGATTTGGATATCCTCTTTCGTGGACAGAGCCATTGTCTAACCTCTCAATGCATAGAGATTTCTACGGATGCTAAGAAGTCCTCGAACTCGTAGCGGCCGTAAACGGTTCCTGCCCAGTCTCGATACATGCTGAGTAACTCATCTGAATAGGCGGTCTTTACCTCAACCAAAGCAACATTCTATACAATATCTCCAAAGTCAGTAGGGTCGAGTCGTCGTCCGCGCTTGATGATTTCGGGAATGCCACTATCTCTTTTGAGATGCTCCGTTGTGAATTTTTCAACCGGTTCTCGTTTCTTTTTGATCGTTTTCTTTTGTGTATCTGCTTCAGGGTTGGTTTTTCCTTTGATGAGCGAAATATCGGTTAAGACAGTTTCTACTATTCAGTCCATCATGGAAAAGTACCATTTTCTTTGTTTCCATCCGACTCTTCACTTTGCGAGTTCATATTACGTGAATAGTCGTAATCTTATCTAACAATAATGCCGTAATGTTAGAGACCTCTACCCTTAAAAAGGATTGTGTATTTCACAAACAAAATAACGTTTGATTGTCATTCCAGAAAACCTACCATCTATTCTATCAAATATATGATTACTGTTGTCTACAAATCAGTTCTTCAACCAATTCCTACGTGAAAAGGTAATGACTCTCTCCTTCTTCGTTGCAAGAACTCTTGAAGCGCAAAGACTCGTCTGACTGCAGTAGAACATATTGATGCGCGGAAGATTGGCAAACTTTCCCTCAATCAAGTCTGTGAAACACCGAGAGGCGATGGTGATGGAACGTAAGAAAGGGCATTCTAAATCGCACATTCACACCACGCCTACCACAAACAGAGAGATAGTTAAAGTGCTGAAACGAACTATCATAGATCACAATGGATTCCAACATTGGCAACTGCGAAAACTCGACTTTGAGATTGTACGGAAGATCCGGATCATTCGAGAAAGAATTACTCTCCACCGTCACATCCTGCAACAACGGGAGGTTCTTCAGCACGAACGACCTGCAATCCAGAAACAGATTCGCTCCGATCGTGATTTTCTCGATCGATTGTCCCAAAAACTCCGGGAATTTCTTCTGCTTCACCGGAGAGAACTTGAAATACAAGCTTTGCAGCACGTTCGGAATGTCCTCGGATCGGAAAACCTCCTCGAAGTCGAACTGATTCTCCACCTGCTTCACGATGTGATGTCGCCTGCTGTCTTGCACCGTATCCACTCCCACCAAGCTGCACGTGAACGACTGCGGATTCTCCACTTTCGCTACGATCTCTTCGCATTGCTGTCGCACCGCTCCAGTGTTCCACCAATTCTCCGGCTGCGCTTTATACTTTAAGGAAGAGGAAGAAGAAGAAGAAGAAGAAGAAGAAGAAAAGGGGCTGGTGGGCGATCTTGAGTCCCAAAGTATTGAATCCGGCTTTAGATAGTGAACGAAGTTTTGCGGAATGCTCTCGTAAAAACCCCGATTGAATCGGCCCTGGAAGAGAACGCTGCCGTCGTTGTTATAGAGAGTTCCTTGGCCTTCGGGAGCGTTGTCTTTCCAGTTGCCTTTGTAAATGAGAACCTTGTTGCGGTAGAGCTCGCCCATTCCATCACGTTTCCCATAAGCAAAGCTGCCCTTGTAGACTAAACCTCCTGTTAAAAAGAGTTCGCCTTGACCATGGTAACAGTAACGAATATAAACATTGTCCAGATACTGGCCCTTGTATAGTACACTTCCTCTGCTATTGTATACTGTCACTATATCTCCGTCAAACGACATTTTTTCATAGTTATCATCAATGTCGTAAGCGCGCGAAATATGGTTCTCAACATATTCATATCGGACTCCATTAATCATCTTCTTGTCGTTCACCGTCTCCACATACAATAGGTTGCCATCAAGAGTTATTTCACAAAACATGTTGCTTTCCCTGCTCAGACGGAATAGCACACTCACAATTTCGTTATGATTATAACGTGCCATATAGGACTGACGACCCGTTGGGAAATCTTCGACAATTCCATGCTTCTTCCCATCATGGATGAAACCACAAAATATAGGGCGTCCGAGTCTTACTCCTAGTAAGCAGTATCCAGTTAGTTGTGAGTATCCAAACGGAATTTGAGCAACTACGTTTCCTAAACGGTCTACCAGTTTATAGGAATTGTACTCAGCAATTGGGGAAGGGCATGCTCTCAAAGTAACCTCGATTCCTTCATACGTGTACTTTGAGTCTTCCCCCGACGGTACTGGTAAATACCTGAATCCCCAATATAATAGAAACTCATGAATTGCGGACATTGAGAAAAAACTAACAATGATTGTGTAACAAACAATTCTTATTATTGAAATGCTGGAGCAGTTTTGGAGGGTCGGATCAACTGAAAAGGAGGATTGGATACAGACCGAGCCGGTGTGTTCGTTAATTGCGGATGTCGCATGATGCTTCCCGGAATGTCGAGTCCTTTGCGGCTACTCGACTGTCTCGAAGGTGTTCTGTATGTTTCGCTTGCTTTCGAAAACGGATTCGTCAGTTTTTTCTCTGTAAAGCTCGGCGTTGAGGGGCGGCTGATGAGTACTGGATTGCTTCCTGCATTGGCGTCTGCTCCTCCTATGGTTGCTGCTGTTCCTCCTCCTCCTCCTAAGGAAGCTGCTATGGAGGACGAAGGCCTTAAAGGCGTTTTGGGGAGAGATGATGGCATCGAGGTGAAGTTGGGCTTGAAGCGAGAGATGAAATCGGGGCGTTTGACAGTGGAGAATCCGGAGGGTTGGAAAGGGGCCGATCGCGGTGTGCTGGGTGGGAGATTGGAGCGTTTGAGTCGCTCGTTTTCCTGTTTCAAAGCGATGAGTTGTCTTTGTTTGACCCATTTGGCATCCCTACGCTTCGTATTCCTTTTTCTGATCCTCTAATTGACGTTGGAGATATTCGAAATAGAGCCGGTTGTGGTTTTCTTGGAACTAGGGTTCACATGAGCAGACAACTGTACTTTATAGATTTCGACCGCCTGCGTAAACAGCTCAATCGGATTACTTGTAATGTATTGTTGCACCTCGTCGGGCATGTTTTCCTATGTGGAACTCAAAGCGCAGAGAATACATCCACGAACAGCGTGCTGCAGCTTTGCCCGCAGTGTGGGCAAATATCACTGTTTGGACTCATTTTCTTGCTGCTGCATGTTGGGCAGATGAAATGACCACAAGAGGTGAACAAAGAGCGCGGGGAATCGATAGGAATAAAACAGATATTGCAGTGGGGAGTGAAAGACATACAAAAAAGAGTGGATGAACATCAGATGGAGGGAAATGTTGTAGCTTGTTTTTTTCAATTGTTTGTTTGTTATGACTCGCATTCACGGACCCATGGAGTTCAAATATTGAACACGATGGACATTGGTAGCGTCGTTCAGGCGATCACAGCTCTGTATGATTGTTCGGTAAGCGTAATTTTGTTCTACGAGAAGTAGCAAACGAGTCCAGAGTTGATCAACAAGGCTGAAAGATTTTTAAGTGATATCGTGAATGATAACTCAATTGTAATCGATTTGGAAACTGGATTCGCCCAGGGATCTGAAATCGTGGTTTTTGGGCTTTGTAACATTGTATATCAGCAAGTTGGAAAATAATGGATCGTTGACGTCAATAGGTGGGAAAGTTCAGACGAAATCCGAACCAGGAAGCAATCTCACGTTACGGCAGCGCAACTTGGAACTATTTATTACAAATCCTGAATGGGAGTCGGTCTATTCCCTGTGATATGACATTCAATCGGTTATGTCTGTGCTATGTGACACTTCAAACATTTGACGAGTCCCAGCTCAAAAAGTGAGTTTTTCTTTTATTTGTAATACGTAGTCTAGTCTATTCATGTCTTCAAAATATGAACGCGGCTCCTCTTCCGTTGCAAGTCTATTTAAACATATTCAAAGTACAATTCGTTTTTTTTCATTTTCTAAAATAAAGTGTCTCCTGGAAGAAGTCGATACGAACCATCTGCCCGAGTCCGTGAAAGACGTCGTTGTGGATGCTCTCCTCTCCCACAAATCCGATTTCCTGGCTTCTCTCTATTCCCTTTTCCAATCCAATCGTTCTTACCTCCCTCCCCTCTTATCATCAGTCCCTTCTCCCATCCTCAATCTCCTTCTCCTCTGTCTCTCCTACTCCCAATTCGCCTGCTCTCTCTCCGATCTCGTCTCCTTCCCTTCCATCGCCTCTCCTTCCACCAGTCTTCTCGCCATTCTTCTTCGTCTCTGCACTTCCTCCTCCGATTCCACCACTCTCCACCTCATCGAATCGCTTCTCACGCACTTCATCGAGCTGCACAGCTACCCAACACCCTCTTCTTTCGCCACCGCTCTTCGAATGACCGCGTCGACCGTCCAGCAGCTCTGCTTCACCGCGCAGACGCACTCCTTCGATGCGCTTTCGCTCGCTGATTTGATTCATCTCACGTCTACTGTCATGCAGGAGCTCGCGATCTGTCCGCCCAGCCAAACCTTCTTGACGACTGAACTCATTCAATTCCTGCTCGACGTCACCGCGAACGATTCCTTGGAGCTCGCTTCGCTTCCGATGGACATGTGGCTGCGACTGAGCGTTGCCTTCCTCTCTGCCTCTCATTTCTCTAGGAAACAGACGCGTTTTATCAGCAATCGATTCGTGGCCAGCCCTGCTACACTTCTCTGTTGCTCGTTCTTCGAAACCAATTGGTCAATCGCGAGGCCGATCTGGCCGTTTTCTCGAAATCAGAGCCGCCGTTCCGCTTCGTCGACTCCATCGTGAACTGGAAGCCGCGTCTCTTCAACGACGCGAAGCTCGAAATCTACCCGTCCGTTCTGGAGATGGAGACCTCGCCGTTCCGACACGGCCCTCCCGGCTGCGAAGACGTGATTCGATCGATCTACGAACGGATTGGCCTCCCCGTTCTGGACTTTCTGAGCTCCATTCTGTCCGCTGAATCGGACGCAGCGCGGATCGAAGCCACGCTCTACCTCCTTGGCCAATGCGTCGAATCGATTCTGATGGACGTCGAATCAACCGAGCGCGTATTTTCTCTCTCTCGATCCTTTTCATCTTTAGAAACAGCAATCCGTTCTCTCCTTCTTCCCTCGCATCGTCGAGGTGGCGTCGCAGCACGTGCTTCGCACCCACGATCCGCTTCTCTCCCGCCAGTTCGTTCTGCTGCTCGTTCGCCTGCTCGTTCTCAAGGTCGATCTCCCCGAGAGCGTTCTCTCCGTCAGTCTGCAGACCTCCGTTCATCTCCTCCAGCACGCTTTTACCAGCTCCTACGCCGGCGATCTGCTTCTCTTCCTCACCTCCTTCCATCGCTCCTTCCTCCACAATTCCGATGTCGCCTCGGCAATTCTCGCCAGCATCCAGGTACCGTTCTCTCGATTCTTTCTTTTTTTAATCCTCCCAGACCGAATCTCTCCACCCCGTCGTCCGCATGCAGCTCACCAAATGCTTCCTCCTCCTCCACCAAGAAGACTCCTCTCTCCAGCAAGCCCAGCTCGCCGTGCAGCTCCTCGAGTCGCTCTGCGCCCACGCCAACGGTCCCGACGCGATGCTCTGCAGCACCGTCGTCTTCAACACCGTCTGGCAGTTCTTCGACCACCGTCTCTTCTTTCTCTCCTCGCTCACTCCCAGTCGAGCTGAACGCGCAGGTCCGTCCGCTGCTTCAGCACGCCACCGACTCGCTCATGACGCTTTTCTTCTCTCTCACTTCCGACTGTCATCGCTCCTCTCCCTTCTCCGAAGAACCGCCTTCTCTCCTCGCCTTCTCCTCCTTCCTCTACTTCTCCGTCCGCGGATTCTGGACCGACCTCTTCGCTCCCCACATCCAGACCACCGTTTCCACGTTTCTACTTTTCTCTCTGTAGATGGACGTTCTGCTCGCGTACTTCCAGCTCTACCCCACCTCCTCGTCTCTGCTCAAAACGATGGCCTTTCTCTCCAACATGTTCGCGGCCTCCTTCGCCGATTCGTTCTACTCCGCCTTCCGCGCCATCGCGTCGCTCTCGCTCGCCCAGACGCGTTTCAACGAGGAGGAGTACGTCTGCGAGCTCTTCACGCTCCTCTCCTCCTTCCCTCTCCAGTTCCCTCGCCAGTTCAATCGCGATCCTTCCTGCGTTCTCGACGTGCTTCGGACCGCCGACGCTTATCTTCACTCTGCGTCCACGCGCGGAAAGACCGCCTGCTTCGCGCTGCTCAACAAAATCGCGAAGCTCCAGACCGACAACGACGCCGTGCTGCAAGTCCTCGCGCAGGCCGCGCCGACGCTTCTCCACGTGGGCTGTGGCGTGGAGTGGTGAGGAATAGACGGTGATCACGGAGTGCATTGCGTGGGATCGCGTGGCGCTGCGCGCAGGAGCCGGGTTTTTATTTAACCTGCTGGGATGTGTGGTGGAGAGCGCGGCAGAGCGAAGCAGGACCGTGCTGCGGGCGGTGAACGAGGTGTACCCCGGAGCGTTCTCAGAGGGCGAATTGGAGGAGATTAGTCGGATTTTGGAGGAGTGAGGGATGGAAGATGGGATGAGAGATAGACGGTTTGATGGAAGGGAGAATCGGTTCGTAATGGTGTTTATGGATTTAGTGGGGATATTGAATAATACGAATACCAAGGATGCGTTGATATCGTATGGATTGTTCCTTGTTTGTTGATAATCATGGGGCGGCTCACACTGAACAGTTTTGTGCGATTCACCCATTCTGAATCAGTCGATTTTTCGCTTGTACGAATTGATTTTACATCATGGGTACGTTTGCTGTGCTTGTTTTGTTGCAAACTCCATTCTTACCTTCTTTCAGGTATTTGCCGCGATTCTCGCCATAAGCGTCGTTTGACCGGAGGAAAGGTTGTAATCAACATCAAGAAGAGAAAGTTCGAGATGGGTCGTCAGCCTGCCATGACCAAGCTGGGAGCTAAGAGAATTTACCTGGTCCGCTGCCGTGGTGGAAATATCAAGCACCGTGCTATCCGTCTGGATACTGGCTCTTTCTCCTGGACCGGAGAGGGTGATTTTTGTCTAGTGGAGTGATTTGTAGCTTTCTCTGCCAAGACCAAGATCCTGAACATTGTGTACAACGCTTCCAACAACGAGTTGGTGCGTACGAACACCATTGTGAAGGGTTGCATTGTTTCGATCGATGCGACTCCCTTCAAGGCCTGGTTCGAGAAGCACTACTCCTGCAAGATCGGAGCCAAGGGCGAGGTGACGAAGGACGATCTGAGCAAGCTGGAGGGCGTGAGCAAGTCGAACCTTGCGAAGCTGCAGAAGCTGCAGGATTCTCTTCAGGAGCAGAAGGAAGTGATCGATCAGCTGGCTTCGGGTAAGATCCTGGCTCGCATCTCGTCGCGTCCGGGTCAGTGCGGTCGTGCTGACGGATACATTCTGGAGGATGAGGAGCTGGCGTTCTACCACAAGAAGATCAACCAGAAGAAGAAGTAAGAGGTGAGTGCGTGAAGCGCTCTGGTAGTCGTACAAGCGTGTGATGTGTTTGTTTGTAAGAATGTTGAGAGTGGACCAAGCGGATTGCAGAGTGGAAGAACGCGTTGTGCGTTGCATGCGACTACTACTATCTTGCATACAATGATAGAAGCAAACAAGTCGCTGCGATCGAAGCGATTCATTCACTCCCAAAGAATTCTGGAGTACACATCCATTCTATTCTATTCCATCCTTCGTTCAACAAACATCACACCACACAACACAGCCTAAACGTCTCACATCATACAGCCTTCTACTTCGACAGCGACACACAGATGCTTCCCGCGATCATCACCACCACCACCACCGACAGAAGCGTCGCGTTTCTCTTCCCGGTGATCTCCTTATACAGCGTCATTCCCCAGATGCTCGACACGATCGTCGGACCGCAGCAAATGATCGGGAACGAGATCGTCTCGCCGGTGTACGCGTTCGCATAGAACCAACCCGTCTGCGCGACGCCCCACATCAGTCCCGACAGGAAGCCCGGGAAAATCGACTTCACGTACACGTCGGGCTTGTTCTTCTTGTACAGGCAGTAGATGCACAGATACACAAACGAGGCCAGCAGGATGCCGCAGAACTGGCTGAACTCCATGTCCATCTTCTGCGCGTTCGGGAACCACTTCAGCCACGCGTAGTTGCACGGGAAGAAGTTCACACCGTACATCAGACCGGCGAACACGCTCAGGCCGTAGCCCACGATGCTGCGCTGGGAGGAGGACAGACGATCGACCCAGCTGGTGTGCGTGTCGGTGATGGGAATTAAGGGATCGGGGTCGTTGATGGAGGTGATGACCGCAGAGCCGAGATTACCCACAGAACTCACACGCTTCGGGATGTCACCCTTCTCCTCTTCCGTGTTCTTGATGAAGGAGGAAATGACCACACAGCTGGCGCAGAGCGCAACTCCAATGTAGTTCAAAATAGGATGGGCGATCTGAGCCTTCGCCTGACCCAACCATCCGAACAGAGACACAGCCCATCCAGTAATCATGTTGGTGATTCCCCAAATGAGGAGACCACGAGCCAGACCTACGTTCACAACAACTTAATCAACAGGTACCAACGCACTTAACGATAGGAACAGTGCACAAGTTTCCAGTAGCCCAGATCACACCTCCGATCATGGCAAAAAGACTAAAAGTAGTTTGCTGTCGGCAAATTGCGACTATCAAACCCATCACCCAGATACCTATTGTTTACGGAGTAGCCAATAAATCATACCCATGCAAACCACAAATTGGAAGAAAACACCATCTCCCGTTTCATATTTCTTAATTGGGATAAAGTTACTTCCAAAGAACAAGACAGCCACAGCAACACCGATATATCCAAGAACAGAATTATTCATTTTATAAAAAATGGGGATCTAATAGCAAGCTGTGACACAATTTGCGGTTTCCCTGTAATCGATTCCATAATAAATTTGAAAACCTCAAATCAGGCCTTCCCAAACCGTCTCACGTATTCCGCAAATGATTTTGAGTCAATGAAACCACACGAGAACACAATTCCCATACTCGAAAAAGAGTGTAGAAACAAACAACACAACTAGGTTTTACATCAAAAAAACTGGACGGTCCGTCGTCATGGGGATCTAACGCAAACGCCGAGTTGCTTATGTTCCCATGCAAAATCGTCCGATCTGGGATCTTCTCTGTGTGAATTCGAATTCGTTTTTGCTGGCTTTCCGTCTGACTATTCTCTGCTTCTGGCCGTTTCATCGGCGAGGAGTCCACTCCATGCGTCATCATCAAACTATCGATATCGACCACGACCTTCATCATCGGAGGCGGTCGAATGACCCACACTTTCTTCTTTTTCTCTGCGATTTCATGCAGTTTGCTTTCGATCTGTCGCTTCGGCAGCCCAGGAAATCGCTTCTGCATCGCCTCCACGATCTGCGAAATTGTGAATTGCTGCCCCGCGATTATTTCGCTCATCACCTTCACCATTTCCTCGGTTATATTCACTTTCCGCTTCACTTCCACTTCTTCCACCAATTCCAGCCTTTTCTTCCTCAGAGTTTCCACGGTTTCCACGAAAAACGCGGGATCCAGGAGGATGCCTTGGCACAATCGAAGATCGATTCCATATTTCGGTTCTTCGCCTCTCGCCATCACGAACGGCTGGTTCAACGCCCAGATCCCCGCGGGTTCTCCGCGTTTCCCCTTGTTTCCACTGACACTGCGGAACACGAGAGCGCTCTTCTCTTCGGCGGTGAGATTGGCGTCGCCGATGTTGATGTCTTCCTCCTCTAAAAACCCGTCGCGGTAATCCAGCTGGTTCCCTGATTCGCTTTCTCCCGACTCGCTTTCCGTGTCGTTGCAGTCGTCTCCCTGCGGCTCCTCCCCGAAGAACTCCAAATCCTCTTCGTCCTCGCTGTCCTCCTCGTAGTTTAGGTGCTCTTCCCGCGACAACGGCGACCGGCCCGTCGCGAAACGCCCGGTTTTGTGAGAAATGCCGAAGAAAATGCGACGGCGCGGCGTTTCGGTGTCTGCGTGGATGTATCGAAACCCGATCATGAAGGGAAGCTTGAATAATTCGCTGGAGGAGAGCGTGGTTTTGTCGATCGTCATTACATCGTGCGAGAACGAGCTCACCGCGGGGAGGAGCGCGGGAGCCACGTCGAGAATCTGCGCGTCGTTGGTGGCGGCGTCTTCGATGATCGCCGCTTCCGAATCCTCCTCGATTTCCGCTTCGCTCGTCTCGATTTCCATCGTGTGATCGGGTTTTTCCGATGCAGAGTCGTTCGGTGGAACCGTAGAACCCTCTTCTGAGGCCGTGGAAACCGTGGAAACCGTGGAAATGGAGGCGATGGCTTGGCCACGACGGTGGAGCTGGGCGCAGCGATCCAACGCGGCGGTCTGGTAGGTTTGCATGCGCGTTTTGAGCTCTGCGAGGAGGGAAGCGATCGCCGCGTTGGAGAGAGAACTGGGAAGTGCCGAGTTGGAAGCAGAGCTGGGAAGTGCCGAGATGGGTGAGTGGGGTTCAGAGTTTGTGGTTGTGATGGTGGGATTTTCTGGGGTAGGAAGGGGAGATTCGGCTTGCAGAGTGGGAATTGCCGAGGTGGAGGTGGGAATTGCCGAGTTGGCAGAGTCATGTAGAGTTTCGTTCATTCCATTTGGAGTGGGAATTGCCGAGTTGGAAGCAGAGCTGGGATTTGCCGAGTCCGATTGTGCTTGTGCTTGTGCTTGTGTCTGTGCTTGTGTCTGGGTTTGTGTCTGTGCTTGTGCCTGGGTTTGGGTTTGGGACGGCTGGCTTGGAGGCTGCGTCGCAGAGCTCGAAGACACGTGAGAAGCGATGAAATCGGTCAGCAAACCCGCGGAAACGGAGGAGGAATCCACGAACTCCTCGTCCTTCTCCGGCTCGGAACTCTTCTTCTTCTGCTTGAGAAAGCTCAGAATGTTCATGCTGGGCACCTTCTCTCGCTTCTCCTTTCGCTCTTTTTTCTCTCGTTTCGGAGATTCGATTGGCTCCGGCTCCGCTGCGACTGCACGCTCTTCGGGCTCTTCCGGTGGTGCCTCAGGGGCATCCTTCGGCTTGCGAGTCTAAAACGATGAGTTCTCTTACCCAATTCGAACACGTTCAACGACTTGGAGACGAATTTCGCCCTGCACTTCGGAGAGACTCGATTCCATTTTGAAAATCTTTCCCTTCTGCTTTAGCTTGATTCCGTCCACTTTTTCGGGTAGTTCATGCTCCTAGCGACTAAAACGAAATACACTCCACAAACTTTAAAAAACGCAAGGACCAAATCGAAAGCATCCTGTTCTTTATTCATATTCATTACAGTTGTCTCTCCATTGTACAAAACAGAGATGGGAATCATATCTTCAGGATTTGACGAAAGCTCCTTCTTCTGGCAGACGATTACTTTTGATTTTTTTGTAAGACCCGCTTCTCCCAGCGTCTCATTATCATTTGACTTTTCTTTCCAATCCACTATAATGCGCTGTTGTTCTGGAGGGATGTTCAAATATTTCTAACACAATCATGTCAATTCCTGTAGATGGTACCGAGATCTCTTTTTTCAGCTCCATAATGGTAGCTGTCTCTAGTATAGGTACTCGAGTTTGTGATAATCGATATTTCACAGTTAGATTCAAACTCATTCCACTGATGTGAGAATAATCAAAAAGCCGCGAACAAGAGAAAAGAAGAGGGAACAAAAAGGATCGATTTTCTGCAATTCCAATTGCTGAGATTACTCCTTATTCTGCGAAGATAAGAGATGTCATCCTCTGCAAATACAATCGAGGAATTGTAGATCGCAAAAGGTTGCAAATTTTAACGATGTAGCCTTCGGCGAATGGAGTTGAAGAAAACGCAATTTCCAAAGCAGTGGGCATATTATGAAGACGAGATTATAGAAAAGCGTTTGTCGAACAACCGAGTAGGGATTGGATGAGTGGGACTCGATTCGTTTTAGATTCGCACTGCGATTTTTAATGATTATATCGCATCAGAACTACGCAATACGTATTCATTCTCTTATCTGAGTGATTTGGAGTGAACTGGAATATACACAGTATTTGGGTCTGGATATCTGGATTGGAACATGGAATGTAAACGGACGTATGCTAAAGAGTGCAATTGGTCCCTGGCTCTTTGCAGGAGGGAAAGGCAACGTTTTTTAATTCTATTTTATTCACAAACAGACAGATCTATTCGTAATCGGTCTTCAGGAAATGGTAGATCTCACCGCTACGACCGTGGTATCCGAATCCCAATCCATGAAGCGTTCGCAAGCTTGGATCGACTCAATTTCTTCCATTCTCAATGAATCCGTACAATTTTCCTTCCTTTCTTTCTCACTACCTTAGGGAAACTCGTATTACTGCGTGGCTTCGAAGATTTTAGTGGGCGTTTTTCTCTGTGTTTTCGCCCGCGTTTCCCTCAGACCCTCCATTTCCCGCGTTTTTAGTACCTCCGTTTCCCCCTTTCCACGTAGCTTCCAGCGTGGCAACGGGTCTTCTGGGAATGATGGGCAACAAAGGGGGCGTTGGAATTCGATTCGAAGTGAACAACTCCTCGCTCTGCTTTGTCTGCTGCCATCTCGCTGCACATCGCGAGAAAGTTTCGGCTCGCAACGCGGACTACCACAAGTCGGAAATTGTGGGATCCCACACCCTTAGGATTTTGTCTGAAATGGTGTTTTCCGCGCCAGCCACGCCTTTTTCGTCATCGTCATCATCTCCTTCTGCTTCCTCTGCCTCCTCTGCGTCTTCTTTTTCATCAGCCGACTTAACGGAGAGCATTCCGATCCTAAGTCATGATGTCGTGTATTGGGTCCCTTCTTTCTTCTTCCGCTCACTCCCAGCTCGGCGACCTCAACTATCGCATCACCTCCGACGTCCCTTCCTCCACGGTCTTCCAATACGCCCGCTCCTCCTTCTCTTCTCTCCTCAAAAAAGACCAATTAGCCGTTTCGCAGCACGCCGGTTTCGCCTTCGTCGGTTTCACCGAGCCGCCTATTTCCTTCCCTCCGACGTACAAATATCTCCGCGACGCCTCCATCTACGACCAGCGTCCCGAGAAGAAACTCCGCGCGCCCGCCTGGTGTGACCGAATTCTCTACCGAATGCGCGATCCCCCGCGGCCAAACCAGCAGATCCCCGTGGTTATCACGGAGTACGAGGCCGTGGATTCGGTTCTGGGGAGCGACCACAAGCCTGTGTATCTGCGGAGCGTTTTATTGGTCAAAAAATACGACGAATCGCGGATGGTCACGTGCCAGACCGAGGCCAGGCGAAGAATTTTGGCGGGAGAAAAGGCGGGTTTGGTGCAGCCAGAGCTGAGCGCGACCGAAATTGCGTTCGGTTGCGTGGCGTTTCAGTCGCCGAGTCGACGGACGATTCGAATTCGGAATGCGGGCGAAACGAATCTTTATTTCCGGTTTTTACCGCGGGACTCGGAGAATCACGTGGCGTTACCGATGTTGGGAGTTTCGCAGCTGTTTGGCGTTTTGTTGCCGAATGAATCAATCGAAATCGAAATCGTTCTGCATGTCACCACGCCGTTCTTGAAGGTAGAATGGCGCTCGTTCATCGTTTATAAGTGTAGTATGTGCACGAGAACGGAATTATCGAGGATATGATGGCCATTCGAATCGATCGCGAGCATGATCATTACATTCACATCACCGCTTCTTTGTTGGCCACCTCCTTCGGACGGTCGCTTCCCGCTTTAATCCGAATGAATCAGCCGGGTAGAGCTTTCCGTTCGCGCGTTAAGCGTAGCACGAGCTAATGAAGCGGTCGATCTGATGAGCCCGCCAGTGCGGTCGATTCCCCGCGAATTGTGGAATATGGTGGACTTCTTGCTGAGGCAGGGACTCGGACAACCGAATTTGTGGAGAGAGAAGGAATCGGAGGAAGAGATGGCGAAGGTGCGCGAAGTGCTGGATGTGGGCGGAGAATTGACAGGAGCGAAGTATGGAATGCTGCAAGGAGAGTTGTGACGAGTAGCCCGCATGTCGTTGCGAACGTTTTGAGCGAATGGCTGGGATCGCTTGAAACACCGGTTCTGCCTGCGAGTGTGAAGGAAGGACTGGAGGACAGTCCTCGGATGTGTTACTTGCTCATCGACACGATTTTGGCGATGGTGGAGACGGAGGAAAGGAGATGATGATTAGATTCCTCAGGAGAACCGGACGGTGTTTATCTATGTGATGAAGTTCTTGCAGGAGGTGCTGAAGCAGAAGACGCTGAATGGAACGGACGTGGACTTGCTGACGATTGTGTTTTCGAAGGTTTTGATTGGCGGATATGTGGAGGATGAAAAGGATCCTGTAAAATGTGCTGAACAAGAAGTGCTGGTGAGCATGATTCGATTTTTGCTGTCCTCTTCGGAGACGAGCGAAGAGAAATCGGTAACCCCTGTCGAGTCAGAGTCAGAATGATTTTGTGTTTGTTTGGAAATGCAATATTCGGATTCGTCGTATTTTTTATGCGTGTTCCATCGAGTGTAGGAGTGATAGCGATGATGCTCCTGTATTAACGCCTGCTCAACGCTGGAAGATGCTAAAGAAGGAGATCAAGGAGGAAATGAAGGAGAACAAGCCAAATCGACTCGAAAAGCGTGACAGGAAGGAAGTTGCAGCTTCCGCTGAAACGAATACTATGCAGAATGAACCGAACTCAAGTAGATTCTATTCTTCAAATGTAAGGCATGTAGAAGTCTCCCGAACAGAATTAGCGGATACTCGCTTCCCTTCCCATATCCACTATTCATGGAAGCCTCCACACAATATTCGGAAGCACACTTCCGCAGAATTTGCAGCCCTTCGGCAAGAGATGCGTGTTGAGGTGACGGGACGCAATCTCCCTCCGATTATTCCCCAGTTCCACCAAATGCGGCTTCCGAAATTCCTTCAAAACTTACTGAGATCTCTAAGTTTGACGAAACCAACTTCCCTCCAAATGCAATGTATTCCCTCCATCCTTCAAGGCCGCAACATACTCAGTATTTCGCCTCACCACTCCGGTAAACACCTCAGCTATGCGATTCCTCTCTTTCTCTTCAGCATGGAAGAAGAAATGAAGCTCCAAATTCTTTCGAACGAAGGTCCCATCGCCTTAATTCTCTGCTCCTCCCGCGACGCAGCCTCCGCAGCCTACAGCGTAGCCTCCCTTCTCTGCTTCGAACTAGACGTTTACGCAGCTAAATCACGCGCTTCGCGACGAAACGCGACTCCAACTTCGCATTTCGCTGTGTTGCGGCGGCGATTCGAAGACGGACCAAATCGCGCAGCTGCGCAAAGGCGTGCACATCGTGGTCGGCACGGCAGGGCGAGTCCGCGAGCTGCTGGAAGAAGGCGCGCTCTCGCTGCACATCTGCAAAGTGGTGTGTCTGGACGAGCTGGATCGCTCGTTCCTGACCGAATTGAATCGAATCTTCGGGTTTATGACGCATGTGCACCAGACGCTTCTGTTTCATTCGGCTCTGAAAGGCTCGCTGCTTGAAGATTTGAAGGAGCAGCTGCGCGATCCGGTGGTCATCAACGCGGCGTCGCGCGTGCAGACGCGGAGCGACGTGAAGTACGCGGTGGAGTTCGTGAAGTCGAGCGAGAAGAACGTATTTGTAGTTCGGAACTGTCTGAACCAGACAGCTCCGCCTGTGCTGATTGTTTGTCGCAATGAAAAAAACGTTGATTTTCTGCAGGAGTATTTCCTGCTCAAAGGAATCGATTCCGTTTCCGTCACAAACACACGCACGCCTCAGGAGAAGGACGACGCGTTGAACGCGTTTCGGGAGGGCAAGGCGGATGTGCTGATCTGCACGGACGCCGCTCTGGGGAATGAAACTATCAAGGAAGTCAATCATGTGATTCATTACGATATTCCCTCGGACTACGCAGTGTTTATGGATCGTCTGAATTTCCTGCGTCCGAATGGAATTTCGACGGCGCTTGTGGGATCCTCGGCTCCGCAGAAGGCGGTGGTGGAGATGAAGTTGCTTCTGCTGAAAACGGGAAGAGAGGTTCCGACGTGGCTGCAACAAGTGAGGGATGAAACGGGAGTCCCAAGTGTTCAAAGTAACCGTTGTTTGTGGTGTGGAAGTCGGAATCACTACATCGTGAATTGCCCCCAGTTGTAAACTTTACTTTTTATTTGTCTCCAGGTTTTATTTATTTGGGATTTGTTTGTTCTAAAACGTCAGTTTTTCTTGTTCTTTACTTTGGTGTGAAGTAAACAACATGGCTTCTGGAGCAGGTAACTTGCAACACGAAATCTGAACGAGATAGATATCCAACGGCTTGGAAGAAAGCACATGGAGATGCTTTCGAGTATGCAGAATATCAGTGCTTCATCTGGAACCTCTGTGTATGGAAAGAAGATTTTGAAAATGATGGGGTGGGCAGAGTAAGTCGTTTGCAACTTCGTTTTCTGTTATAGTGGTGAAGGTTTGGGCAAAGAAGGAACGGGTATAAAGGAGAGTATTATAGTAAAGAAGAAGGACGACGAGGAAGGAGTACGTTTCTGTTGATTTTGCTTAAAGCAAGGTTGGTTACAAAGAAGAGCAGAGCAACAAATGGGGAGAATGCTGGTGGTTCAATGCATATGACTCTGCGGTGAAGAAGATCGGTTCAAGTTCGACCGACACTGATTCTGAGTCCGATTCATCTGTCTCCGTTTCGACACCCAAGGTATATTCAGGTAGGCCATATTATTTGGCAATCAAAGATAGATGCGGAGTTGTTTGCGGCATGTAAAGGTAGACGATTAGGAATGCGAGCTCGAAGGAGTCAGGCAAAAGATTGATGAGTTGGATAACGAATAGAAGGGGAAATGGGAGAGAACGGAGGATGCGGAGACATTACCCGAGATAGCGGAGTCGATTTATGATGAGAAGAAGAAGGATAAGAAGAAGAAGGATAAAAAGGAAAAGAAAGATAAAAAGGATAAAAAGGAAAAGAAAGAAAAGAAGGAAAAGAAGGATAAAAAGAAAGAGAAACATAGCGAGAAGAAGCACAAGAAGGAGGAGAAGAAGCACTCTAAGGATAAGGATAAGGATAAGAAGAAGAAGCAAGAATAGACTGTTTGTTCGAATCACATTTTCTAAAGATGTTCCTGAAATGCTCAAAGTGTAACAACGTGTTTCGAAGTTGCAATGCGGAAAAGCACGTAAAACACTGCAAGAACTCCGCTGCTATGTGTTGTGACTGTGGAGTCAGTCTTTCACCTGAGGAGATTCCGAAACACACCAACTGCCCAAATGCTCTCAAACGCAATATTCCTCCTCTCTATAACCCCAAAGCTGTTTGTTTTTCGCTTGAAGGGTTTATATGTAGAAAATATTCAATCCGAATATCAGCAACCTGCTTCTTATTGACCGTGCGGCATTCGAAAACAAAGACAGCCAGTTGAAGCCCATTTTCGACAAACTTGTGTTAGTGGATTGCGTACCCAGAAAGAAGGATGGCTTCGTGAATTATACGAGTGCTCTCTGCAAGGTAGATAAGGAAATCGCAGAACGAGCGTGGGATGTGCTGGAAAAGACGAAAGCGATGATTCCTGCAGAAAAACGAAAGATAATAAACAAGTTGGTAAGGGTTTGGGGTCATGTGTGAAACTTAGAAACCAGTGATCAAGAAGGAAAAGAACTTCAAAAAGGAGAAGAAGGAGAAAGTAGAGAAAAAGAAAAAACCAGAGCAACCAGAAGATTCGCTGGCAAAACGCGTAGAACGTCTGATTACACTGCATAAAAACGTATAAGCATATTTCCAGGTCAATTTATAGACACTGGAGGGAGATGCATTGAAGGACAAGGTGGTCGCGCTCATTTGTGGTCGCGACCCGTTAGAAGACGAAGGCAAGATACGAGAGACGTTTGACAAGGTTATTACGATGTGTTATTTGTGTTTATTCGATACATTCCCGCGGTATACTTTTTTCATATCTGCTTACATTCCCATATATATGATGTGGTCATTAACAGCAATGGAACCGATAGATGGGGGAATCCTTTCTCTTCTTCCTCCGCTTGTTGCCCTCATTCTGGCTTTTATTACGAAGGAAGTGATCACTTCGATTCTTTCTGGAGTATTCGTTGGTACTATTATCTACACTATCAAGAAACATCTGGCATGGTACAATGCAATCTCAATTGTGATATCCTTGCTTGTTGAGAAGATGTCAGAGGAGATGGAAATGATTATTTTTATTACGCTACTTGGAGGACTCATCATCATTCTAAAGAACTCTGGGGGATCGCGTGCGTACGGTAAATGGGCTATTCAGCGCGTAAAGTCCAGAAAAGGGACCGAATTTTCCGCTATTTTGATGGCTTGTTTGTTTTTTGTGGATGACTACTTTAACTGTTTGACTACGAGTACTGTGCTGAAGCCGCTCGCCAAGGCGAATCATATTTCCATGGAGAAGCTCGCGTTCATCATTCATGCTGTGGCTAACAACATCTGCCTTCTCGTTCCATTTTCCAGTTGGGCAGCGGCGATTGCATCCAATATCAAGGATGCAGGTTTGTCTGGGGGCATCTCCATGTTCATCTCCACCATCCCGTACAACTTCTACACAGTATTCGTTTTATTCTTCATCGTTCTGATCGTCCTCTGCGACATCGACTTCGGCGCGATGAAGCGCTACGAAGAGCTCGCCAAAATCCAGCCGAGCTGTCCGCGCGGTCGGCCCGACGACTGCATGAGTCCAACCGAGAGCGAAAAGGAGGGCTCCGTGTGCGATCTGCTCATCCCCATCGTGCTCCTGATCGGATTTACCTTCCTGTTCATTCTCTGCACGGGCGGTTATCTCACCGACCCGAGCGTTTCTTTCATCACTGCGTTCATGAACGGCGACGCCGTCCTCTCGCTCAGCATGTCCACGCTCTGCACGCTGGCGTGCTGCGCGGCCATGCTGATCCCACGCAAGCAGATGACGTTCAATGCGTTTGTCGAGAGCGTGAAAGAAGGCGCGCAGTACATGGCGCCCACGATCATCATTCTCGCCGTGGCGTGGACCATGAGCGGGGTCACGAACGAGCTTTTAGGCACAGGAGAATATTTAGGCACGCTTATTATTAGGTTCCACATCCCCGTAGCACTCATCCCCACAGTGTTCTTTTTACTTGTGGCTGTGACCGCGTTTGCGTTGGGAAACGCGTGGTGCTGCTTCGGAATTTTCATTCCGATCGCTTCGGAGATCTGTCAAACCACATCCCCGGAGTCGTTGGCGCCGACGCTTGCTGCGGTGTTGGGAGGGTCTGTGTTTGGAGATCAAGCCTCTCTGTTGTCTGAAACGACGATTCTACTCGTTTCTACCATGGAGTGTACGATTCAGAGCCATTTCAAAACGCAATTACCGTACTTGCTCATGGTGCTGGTCATTTCTACGTTGACCTATGTGGTTTGTGGATTTACGAAGAATAACTTGTTGATTAGCTGGCTGGCTGGTTTGGTGATTCTTATCATTACAGCGGTTGTTTGGACTTTGATCTATCCACATCTGAAGTCGAGTCAGAGGGATATGTACTTCGACAATGAAGATGATATGAAGAAGGGATTATGCAGTCAGAAGGAGGAGGACGAGGAATTTATTAAATCTTTCATGTACAATGACTCGTTGATTTTGAGTGTTTGTTTGAAGCAAAAGCTGTTACACGATGGAATTTTGGGCGAGGGATCAGTGGCGGGGTTTCCCGGAGAATTGAAATCCAGATTCGGCCGTGGTCAGGCATTGGGAAAGTGCACTAAAATCTAATGAGCGAACTCCAAACTTTCCGAAGATCGTATATCCCTCCTCTTCCTACCATTTTGACCAAGGACGTGAATGTGAAGAAATGCGAGGCACTGGGCGCTGCCGCTGATCACGGTATGGTTTTGGTACGGATTGGTGATATGGATAGAGAAAATTCAGGCTTTGTTCCCCTGCACTTACGGACTTCCTCGTGTAGAGTATGAGGAGTGCACCGGCAAGGTCTGGAGACCCATGAACATCGGTGTGGTGCTTTCGGGAGGTCAGGCTCCTGGAGGTCATAACGTGATTGCCGGAATCTACGACTTCACGAAGAAGGTGGGCGGAAACATGTACGGATTCCGCTACGGACCCCGTGGTGTGTTCACTGGCAAGTATGTGAAGATCGACGACAAGTTCATGGACCAATACCGCAACATGGGAGGCTTCGATATGATCGGTTCGGGTCGTGACAAAATCAAGGGAGACGACCAGGTTCGTTATTTGCGCGTTGGCTTGATTTGTAGTTCCAAGCGTCCGCGAAGGTTTGCAACGACCTGGAATTGGACGGTCTGATCGTCATCGGAGGCGACGACTCGAACACAAACGCTGCCCTTCTGGCGGAGTACTTCCAGAGCATCCACCACCGCACGCACGTGATCGGCTGCCCCAAGACGATCGACGGCGATCTGAAGAACGACTACATCCCGGTGTCCTTCGGCTTCGACACGGCGTGCAAGATCTACTCGGAGCTGATCGGGAACATCTGCGTGGACGCGTTGTCTGCGCAGAAATACTACCACTTCGTGCGCTTGATGGGCCGCTCGGCGTCGCACATCACCATGGAATGCGCGTTCGAGACGCACCCGAACTACACGTTCATCGGCGAGGAGATCTCCCAGAAGAAGAAGTCGGTGAAGCAGATCACGCAGGAAGTGGTGGATCTGATCGTGGAGCGCGCCAAGCTCGGCAAGAACTACGGCGTGATTCTTCTCCCCGAGGGACTCATCGAGTTCATCCCCGAAATGGGCTCGCTGATCGAGGAGCTCAACGAGGTCATCGCGGCCGGCCACACCGCGCAGGACGACATCGCCGCGCACCTGCAGCCGGCGTCGCGCGAGCTGTTCGACTATCTGCCGCAGTCGCTGCGCGATCAGCTGACGCTGGACCGCGATTCGCACGGCAACGTGAAGGTCTCGCAGATCGAAACGGAGAAGTTCATCGTGTCCTGCGTGCAGAAGGAGCTGGACGCGCTCAAAGCGCAGGGCGTATACTCGGGCTCGTTCAACGCGCAGTGCCACTTCTTCGGGTACGAGGGCCGCTGCGGCCTGCCGTCGTGCTTCGACACGAACTACTGCTACGCGCTGGGCTACAACGCGGGCGTGCTGATCCACGAGGGACTCAACGGCATGATGTCCACCATCAGCAACCTGGACGCTCCGGTGGAGGCGTGGACGGCGGGCGGCGTGCCGGTGACGATGATGATGAACATCGAGCGACGCAACGGAAAGGACGAGCCGGTGATCAAGAAGGCGCTCGTGGAGCTGGACGGACTGCCCTATCGACGCTTTGTCGAGCAGGCCAAGAAGTGGAGACTCGGAGATTGCTATAGCTTCCCGGGACCCATTCAGTTCACGGGACCCGCGGCGAACGTGATCAACCAGACGCTGGCGTACGAGATCGAGGAGAGAAGAATGAGAAAGCATTGAGGAGGTTTTTGAGTCGTTTTTGGCGTGTTTGTTGCAGTCAGTCAGGGGTGTGGGAGGAAGGTAGTGAAGTAAAGGAGCTAAGTGAGTGGAATTTAGTGGAATTGCTTTTTTTTCAAGGATCCAATGGAATTTAGGATGGAATCCATTTGTGGCACTTGGTGATGAATGATTCCATTTTGGAAGGGGGGTTGGAGTGTGGAGATTGGCAAAAATAGTTTTGTGTAAAGATCATTTCGAATGCCTATTGGAAATACTGTATACCTGTTCACGCGCAAACAAATGGGAGACGATAACGAGCTTGGAAGAAAGCTGATTCGTGGCTTCCTTGGAAACCTCGCGAAGCAAGAAGTACTCCCTAAGCTCTTGTTCTTTGTCAACGAGGGAACCTTCCTGGTGTGCACGGAGGACGAAACGCTTCTGACGCCTCTCCGCGCTCTGGCTGATAAGGGAGTGGATATCGCCGTGTGCAAGACTTGCCTGGACTTCTACAACATCCCTGTGGAGAAGATGCCTCTGGGTCGCGTTGGAACTTCTCCGGAGTTCGTGAAGATCACCACGGAGTTCCCTGTCATGACTGTCACATAATTGGGTTTTTGTGATGCCTCTTTGTTTGATAAGAAACACAAATAGATCCATGAATGTTCTCGACGGATATGACTCTGACGAAGAGTTCTCCTTCAACCCCTGTGGTAGAAGCGCGCATTTGTATTGACAATTAGAAGACATTGACTGGAATCCGACGGAGCCGATCTTAAAAGTAAATCAATGAATGGATGCATGAAATGAAAGGATTCCAAGCCTTTGCGTCAGGATTACCGTCTTCTAGAGGGTATTGGACGTGGAAGCTATTCCTGTGTATATAAAGTGGAAAATATCCACACGGGTGACATTTGTTGCGCAAAGAATGTACTGTTCCATGAAATGATCAAGTCTAGTATTTTCCGCAAAAGGACCCTAATGGAGGATTTCTGGATTTGAGTACTCATGCGTTGTCTGAACTGTCAAGTTTTTTCCCTCCTTTTGAATTACCATTGTAGTGCTTTGTTCATTATCCCACAAATCCATTATCCCCGTGTATGGAATTTGTCGAGGTCGACGTCGCGGTAGTGTCTATTTAATCACAGAGCTTTTCGATTACACCTTGGATGATCTTATTCATTTCCAAGCTCCTCTCACCGAAGTATCTTTCTATAGGCATTCAGTAACAATCAGAACGAAATCAAAACCATTCTTCGCACGATCCTCGACGTTCTCTCATTCATCCACTCCAAACACATTTTTCACTGGTTTTCTTTCCATTTCCATCCCATCTAGCGATCTCAAGCCCGGAAACATTCTCTGCAAGAAAGGCAAAATCGCGCTCTGCGATTGGGGCAGTGCGACCCACACAAACACTCCTTCCCAGCCTCCCACGCTCGGCTATCGCGCTCCCGAGCTTTTATTATGGAAAGAATCGATGGACCCCGCGTACTGGAGCCCCGCGGTGGATGTCTGGAGCTGGGGAATTCTCGTCGTGGAGCTTCTCACAAAGCATTATCTCATCGAAAGCGACAGCGAACTGGCCACGCTGAATCGCTTCGCGAGAATGGCGGGGACCGAGTCGATGAGCGAAGCCGAGCGGAAGCAGCTCGATGATTGCAATGAACACAGCTTGCTGCGGTTCGGATCGATTCGAGGAGCGGTGGAGGAGGCGGTGCCGAACGCGTCGCCGGCGGTGCTGGCAGTGCTGCGCGACTGCTTTCATTTTATGCCTGCGGGGAGGAAGAGCGCGGAGGAGTTGAGGAGGAGCGAGTGGATGCAGGGGTGTGGAGGGCAGGAAGAGTTGGCGGATTGGAGCCAGTGGGTTCGAGAGAAGAGGGAAGAGAAGAAGAAGAAGACGTGGGAGATGTGGCAAGAGTTGCAGAGAATGTTGATGGAGAAGCAGTGAGGTGTTTGTTAGAGAACGAAAGAGAGTGATTTTTGGAATCGAATAGGGTGGAATGGAGGATTTGGGAGTGAGATTATGGGGTCACGACGGACTGTTGATTCTTATTTTTGGTTCACTGCTGTGTTTGTACACATATATCTCACATTGGAGATACTTAATACAATGGTTAATGCTTGCTTGATTGATTGATTGATTGATGTGAATGGAAATACTCAAATTAATCATGCAGATACGAAGAGCGTTAAGTTCGTGATATTATTTGGGGTAGAATGACACACTATTCTGAGTGAAAGTTTGGTAGACGTTCTCCTCCCTGAACAAAACGTTTTGGACGCAGTAATTGAATATAAGAGAACTTGGAGTATTATTCTTGATAGAAAATACCGGGTTTTCTAAGAAAACAGTTAACATATATTGTTATTTATTTGACGTATTCGAACTAAAGATTCAGTTAATTTTCTTTTATCATGATTGTTCGGATATTTTTTATGCTTTTCTTAATGACTGAATCATGTGCAATTGAATTGAGAGAGAAAGGGTAAGCTAGCTCGAATATTGAAAGGATAGCTTTCCAGCAAAGCCTGTAAATCGCGCTGGTATTGATACACCGAACACAGTAGAATCTGAGTTTACGATTAACAACAAAACAGCGAGCATTACCTACATCCCTGCTATGCTCGGTTTAAGTGATGTACACAACAACAATAGCTTAAAAGATTCATTTTGTATGTCAAAAACTATTTTCGTTGAACCATTAACTCATGTAACTGTTGTGTATCAAAACCACAGTATTGTTTCTCAATCTTATCCAATCAAAAAGAAAAGCATCATATCAATTTCGAGGCTGAACTGTACCAAAGATTTGTATATAGTTTCAATTATTATGTTATGAGTAGAATGAGCTGTGAAAGCATTTGTATCAAACAGAATGGAGTTTGGGATTCTAATAATAGAAGCTGTATTCAATCATTTTACCTGAATCGAATTTGTTATTTGATCGAAAAGGATGCTGGCAGTTGGAAATTAGTAAATGCATCGTAATGGCGTACATAGACTCTAAACTCTAGATCAGTCACTTTGCTTGATAATACAGACAAACCATATTGCCATTTGAGTCCAGGACGTAATGAAGTGATTTTTACTTTATCCAAATCAGAAGATGTTCAAATTGATATTTGCACAAATACGGATAAGAAAATATTGGATAGAGTTGAAAGAATAATAAATAGTGGATCTTCACTGATAGATTATTCCCCAGATAATGATGAAGAACAATCTCATACATTGTTTTCTGATATCTATTCATATTTGTCTACATCAATCTTTGGTGTTCTGTTTGGATATGTTTTCAAATATATATACCAGCATTCTTATACTGTTATTAAGACAGTACAACAGACTCAGGAAAGGTGTTGCGATAGTAGAGAGTATGGTTGGACAAGTTGTGACCCCCAGTATGTACCTGCCCTGTGTGAACGTGGAACATGGGTTTGCGTCTTTGTTGCTGAGGTTTGTATGTGGTTAATTATGATTGGATGCGTTTATGGGGTCTGCTGCTGTGGTTTCTGCAGGGAGAAATGCAACTGTTAATAGTTACATTTTATTTTTTGTATAATACAAGTCACTTAGTGCAATTAACAAACGACGAAATTACACTTTATTGAGAAATCATTATTTGTATTTATATACAAAATGGAGGTACTTTTTACGTTACTATAAAAAGTGCTGGATAGTAGTGTCCATATTATTCTTTGTTTCCCTACAAAAACATACAATAGCGACACAATCAATTTAGGCTGCATAGTGACAGTCCCAAGATAGACCCGATTGGATCAGCTTCTTATCTAATGCTATATATCTGTGAATAGAATTACAATTCTAAATCTCTTGAATTTATAGTTAACCCATGTATTTGTAATGCTTACTGTTTGTTTGTTAACGATATTTATGTATTTTTATTAACTAATCAGTTTGCACTTAACATAATATGTTATAGAATCTATTTGTCCGCTAGTGCTTTCGCTCTCTATCTATATAAACCACATGACTGCAATCACTCAATCCACTCTTTCTCTCTCACACATGCACAACATATCATCCAAAACTAAGTGTGCGTATATCATACAAACAAGTATACAATGTTATTGTTTACACCAAGAACGATCGAGATTTCCTCCGATCTTTGTTTTCTTCAAAAACTTAAACATTCTCTCAGGATTCAAGCTTAGAATTCCCTGATTCACCGAGTCCGTTCCACTCATTTCACTGGATGGTCTTGTCAATCGAAGTGTGAGTGGACCCCTCGTGGGTTCATCGATTCCCAGCCTTCCATTCGCTATCAAAAAAGAAGCAGCAAAGTAATTCTCCACCGTCTATGTGTAAAACCAAATCAAAAACTGGACTTTGGAAAACGTTTTGGAATCATTTAACGTCGAAATCATGTCCACTTCGTCTTTTCCAGTTTCGATGAGCGTTTTTCTGATTTTTTTCATTACTTCCCCTGTGGTTTTGCGAAGCTACCCATCACTCACTCTTCGAACACTTACCTCGTTCCTTTCTTTATCATCTGTAACTTCCACAGGAGTTTTTTGCTCTGAAGAATCACTCCTTGTTCTCTTCACTGTCTTTTTCTTTTCAAGTTGCTCGTCCTCCGTTTCTTGTGGATCCCTATCTGGCGGAACATAAAGATTACCATTTCTATACATCACTCCTCTTTTTCTATTCTACATAAAGCTAATGAACCCAGGTATCTTAAAAAACCCGCGAACATCGTTTCCAAATTTATCCCATTCAAGTAGTTCGCAGGTAGGACTCAAATACATTTTCTTCAACTCAGTCCAAACAAAATCGGCATTTGGCTAAGGAACAATGATCCAAATCACGCCATACCTTAACATATCCTCGTTGCAATCGTTTTGCCTTTTCTAACCCGAGATTACTAATTTCAGCTAAAGACTCGGCATATTTATTAGCATTAATTACAGAGTTTGCTACACTCTTAATTGTTGGACAAAAATGGACAATAGTCTAAAGTCTCCATGTCATCTAAAATGGGCATCAGGTCGGCAGACAGTATATCATCCTGCATCATTCTAATTTCTGAAATCGTGAGTTAGTAAAGATCATCTCCAAGGCAGAGAACATACCATCTACCCTTTCATTAACACCCTGGATAACGTGAGAGAACCTCTCCGAATCCATGTTAATGATTTTTACCTGAAATAGATGGTAGATTCAGTGAGAAATAGCACTATTTGTGGTATTCCATAAACATGCACTATTTTGATAAACGAATTAAGGAAACATATCATATTCAAATTATTATTTGAAAACGATATGAAGGCACTTTTTAGCAAAGTATGTGACCAAAGATGTACGAATTTATGTTTAGAACAAAATCGGAAAGGTTAATCGCCGAACTATCTGTATTTCAGATATCTCATAATAAGTTGTAGCGGAATCCCTTAGAGAATCGGTTCCAGTGGCTCCCTGCGAGGATTGGAAGGAAGATAGTAGATCTCCTGTTTTCCTCTTGACTGATAGATACGGAGATGCTCAACAGTGAAGAGAAGAGTGAGCTGCAGGGAAGCCAAATTACAAAGAAGGATCTGCAGGATCATCCGAATGAAGTGAAAGATGTGGCCCGTTTCAGTATCAGTATCAAGCTCTCTAGCCGTGCTTCGCTGGATAAGTTTATTTCTAAAGGTAGGCTTCCTCGCTCAGTTCGATGTAGTTTTAAATATGCACAAGGAAGATCCTCGCACCATCTACTCGAACTGGGAGCAGGTGGGAAAGGGTTCCTTCGGCGTGGTGTATAAGGTGAACAAGGGCAAGCAAGTCTTCGCCGTGAAGGTGTTGGAGGACAACGGCAATCTGGTTTCCCTCCAGCAAGAAATCGGTCTGCAGTCGTACACTCCGGGCCCCAACGTGGTATCGATCATCGACACGTACTACTTCGACGACAAGCTCTGGGTAGGCGCTTCACTCCAAGCTTTTGATTCAGATCGTCATGGAATACATGAACGCGGGCAGTTTGGCGGATCTGCTCGACACGCAAGTCGCTTTCCCCGAAGAAGCGATCGCCTACGTGACGAAGGAGGTCTTGGAAGCGCTCAAGTACATGCATCGCCACCACCAGATCCATCGTGACATCAAGAGCGTGAACATCATGCTCGACACGGAGGGCCATGTGAAGTTAGTGGACTTCGGAGGCGCGGCTGTGCTCACCAAAGAGCAGTCCAAGCGAAACTCGCTGGTGGGAACGCCGCATTGGATGGCTCCCGAGCTGATTCGCCGCATTCCGTACAACGACTCCGTGGATATTTGGTCGCTGGGCATCACGGTGCTCGAAATGGCCGAAGGCGTGCCGCCCTTCGCGGATATCAGCGACGGCATGAAGGTGATGCTGAAGATCGTCACGGACTGCGCGCCGTTCTTCCAAGATCCCTTCGCGTGGAGCGAGGACTTCCAGAATTTCTTGGGAGCCATGCTGGAGAAGGATCCCGCCAATCGAATGTCCGCCACGCAGCTGTCGCAGCATAAGTTCTTACAGCGGGCGTATACGCGTGAGCAGTTCGCACAGTTCATTCGACTGTCGTATGAGCTCGCGAGAAGCTATGCAGGAGGCTAATGGTTCTGATTTTGCTTGTTCGTGGTGTGAATCTCGTGGCCCATCTAGTATTGTTTGGATGTGTTTGTTCGATACAGGAAGCCATTGCTGATTCGATGAGAGCAGTCTGGCCTTGGTTTTGCTTCGAGAGGAATGGTTGTGCTTTGATAGGATGGTTGCTTCAATTGAACAAACAATGGTATTCAACATATTCATTATCCCAGTGCTTCTTTTCGTCTTGTTCGCCGGCGTAGAGAAGAGGAACCGGGTTAGCGAAACGATGTCCTCGATCCATTGCCTTGATCTCGTTCATTTCTTCTTCGGACAATTCAAAATCGAACACATCAAAGTTCTCCTTGATTCTGTAATCGTGCACAGACTTCGGAATGCAAACAGTACCGCGCTGAATAGCCCATCGAATCAACACCTGGGCTGCGCTCTTACCGTGCTTCTCTGCTATTTTCACAATGCGAGGATCCTTAATCAAAGGAACCTCCGTCGTGTTTGCCATATTCATTGCGCCACCAAGAGGGAAATAGGCCGTGAGGAGGATTCCATTCTCGCCCAGCGTCTTCATCGTTTCCCACTGCTGAAGGTAGGGATGCAGCTCCACCTGATTCATCACAGGCTTTATTTGGCAGAAGCGCAGCAAATCAAGCACTTTCTTGGTAGAGAAGTTCGAAACTCCAATGGAACGGACCTTTCCTTCACGAACCGCCTCTTCCATTGCGGACCAAGCCTCCTTCACGCAGTCTTCGTTATATCCCAGACGATACTTGGGGTCATTCGGAGGAACAATAGGGTAGTCAAAGAAATAATTCTCCTGACGATGCTTTTCCTGATCTTCTGGGAGATTCAAGAAACCTGCCTGATGAATCAGCAGAAGATCAATGTAATCAGTTTGAAGATCAATCAAACTTTGAGCGATCGACTTTCTCACATTCTCCGTTTTCCAATCAGTCACCCACAGTTTTGTGGTAATGAAGATATCTTCTCTCTTGATAATTCCTTCCTTGATACACTTCTGGATAGCGTTGCCAACAGCTCTTTCGTTCTTGTAGGCAGTAGCAGTATCAATGAGACGATATCCGGTTTTAATAGCAGTTTCGACGGCAGCCTCCGCTTCATCAAATGGGGATAAAAAGGTTCTGATGATGATAAAATGATAATGTTACATACCCTAAGCCAAGAATAGGCATTTCATAACCGTTGTTCAGAGTAACTGTAGTCTTCATTTTTATAAAGTATGAATATTCTAATGTACAAAAAATAATGAAAGATGATACCTTTGAAAACACTTCGAATCCTAATAACTATTAGGAAAGATCGCTTTTGGATTTCTGCTTGAAAAGTCTCATTCTGAATGAAATACTTGCCATAAGATGAAATAATAGCGAGAGGGAATTATTAATTTGTTCAATCCTACGATGTTGTAGATGGAACAAAGAAACATCAAAGAAGTGAGTTAATAACGAAATTAGCGTCTATACTGTTATAGCAATAACAAATTACGAGCAGAATAATGAAAGACAAGGAGTGAACTATCATTCTAGTTCTTTTATATTAATAATCGATCATACAACTTCGTGGAGGATTCTCTGATATTTCATCTATGATTTCTTAATCTAAGTACGAAATGACTGATCTTAGCGAGAATTAGGATGATCGTTGTTTCAGTGTTATTATTATTATGTCTAAACAATCTTCTAATATCATTTTTCATATTGATAGTTTTGAGATTTATTCACATCTCCTGCGTCAACTTATCATTCTTTAACTACATTACTTTAAACACCATATATCAGAAAGCAACTAGATTTGTGATTTTATACGACATCAATAGGAAATCGCACGTTTACCAAAAAGGCTTGAAAAAAAGTGTGAAGTTGTTCAAAACAAACACATCAGCACTCCGGGCTATTTTCATTAGGGTAAGGACCAGCATTGCTGTTGTTGATATTGCCTCCATACTCCCAGTTCCAATTGAAGCGGCACTGAGCAAGATCGGCCTGGTCCTCAACATCGTAATAATGAGCATTCTCGCTCTGAGAATTATCAGGATTACTCATACAGAAAGTAGGGTAGGTAATGTAGGCATTCTGCTCCGCCAGAATGGTGACTCCTGTCGATTCTTGGTATGCAGAGAGGAGCTGCGAAGCGAAGTTGGTGGAATCGTCGTTATATCCGTTCTGGTTGAAGTTCAGCTCTTTCAGGTGAGGGAAGTTGACCTTATCATTGCACATATTCTGAATAATCGTGATGATGTTGTTGGTAAGATCCGTCAAATAGTTCGGGTTCAGAGCCGCCTGCTCCACGTCGTAATCGACGATCTGGTGCTCGCTCACTTGCAGCGTCTCTAAGTTCACGAAATAGCCCTTCTCCCGGTTGTTGTACATCCACGAGAGCAGCGTGTAGAGTCCTTCGCGCTTGAAGGTGCCTCTGCCGAACACGATGCGAGAGGGGTAGGTGTACTGAGACAGAGAGATCAGGCTTTCCGCGAGGGAGGCGTCCAGGAAGTTCAGGCGGAGCAGGTCCGAGTAGAGATACATATCGACAGGGCTCGGATTGCGATCCTGCTTACTGAGAGAATCGTGCCAGAGGTTCAGAGCTTCGCTGGTCATACCCGACAGAGCGAGGACACGCGTGTACTTCAAAGCCAGGGTAGGATAGGCGTCACGGACAGCTAAGTAGTAGCGAGTGACGTCAAGATCGGAAATCACTTCGTCCTTGCAGGTATCCTGGGTGGCGTAGTTGCTGTTATCGCCGAAGATGAAGGGGTCGTAGATGGGGAACCACGCTATGGGAGTAGGAGTGGGAGTGGGAGTGGGAGTGGGAGTGGGAGTGGGAGTGGGAGTGGGGGTAGGAGCCTGGGTTGTGGGAGCCTGGGTGGTAGGAGGAAGAGTCGTGGGAGCCTCAGTAGGAGGCAAAGTGGTAGGAGCCTCAGTAGGAGTCAGATTGAATGTAGCACCAGCAGCAGATCCAAATTTCACAGTGTAAGAAAAAGACATAACTCCACTCTTCAAAGTAATAGACGATTCAGCATCCCAACCATTTTCACCACTATCCGTTAACAACATCGTGTGCACAGTAGCATTCATGCAGAAATAGAAGGTACCAGCAGTGCAAACAGTTTCCTGATAAACGGCAATACCATATAAATTTTCTCCTTCAAAAATGCTAACCGCTTCTTCATTTCCAAACTGACCACAAGTACGAGTAACCGTAACCACGAGCTGTCTCTCGTCACATTCAATAGGAGAAGTAGTGGGAGCAGCAGTAGTGGGAGGAAGAGTCGTAGGAGCCTCGGTAGGAGCAAGAGTCGTAGGAGCCTCAGTAGGAGGCAAAGTGGTAGGAGCCTCAGTAGGAGGAAGAGTCGTAGGAGCCTCGGTAGGAGGCAGAGTCGTAGGAGCCTCAGTAGGAGGAAGAGTCGTAGGAGCCTCAGTAGGAGGCAGAGTGGTGGGAGCCTCAGTAGGAGGCAGAGTCGTAGGAGCCTCAGTAGGAGGAAGAGTCGTAGGAGCCTCAGTAGGAGGAAGAGTCGTAGGAGCCTCAGTAGGAGGCAGAGTGGTGGGAGCCTCAGTAGGAGGCAGAGTGGTAGGAGCCTCAGTACT